TGGCCCACGCTCTTTGGGACCTACCAGGTAAACCAAACTGAGACCAAACACCCCTCCCCCAAAACCCACTTTTAAGCCGTTTCCCCCAAAAATTTTTCGCAAAAAATTTTATAATCAGAAACAAAGCAATGAAATGGCTCGATAATCCCCGAAGGGTACTCGGGCTTTTTAAACCCCTTTGGGCCCAAACACCACCACCCCCCCGGTTCCCCTATATTCTCCCATTTTACCTCCGTTTTCCCGGCATTCATTAACCTTATTTAGGAAACCCCTAAGAAACCCCCCCAGTGCTGTACAAAAAATTTCCCGCTGGGGTAAACCATCGATCCCGGGGGGCCTTTAACCCTTCCCCTCATGTCCATAAGGGGCCTCCCATTTTTCCCCCCCCCAAATTTTGACCCCACCCATCCCCCCGAACCCCTCCCCCCATTTTTGCACGGCACATACTCACATACCTTCCCCAAAAAACCTCAACCATCCCACCCCACTATTTTCCCGTAATTTCCCCAAACCATCTATCTTTCATATGCACTTTATCCCCCTTTGGGGTCCCTTAATACCTGACCCCCCTCTAAAACCCCCCGGGAAAAATAGACTTTTCAAACCCGGGGATTGTAGGGGCGTTCGGGGTTTTCGTTAAAAATTCCCGGGCTCCCGGGCACACAAGCTGAGGCTTTTCCCCCCCCAGAGTACTTTCGTCCCAACCCCGGGCCCGTCCCAACAGGTGGAAAACGGGTTCCCCTTTTTTTGGGGAAATCCGGGATTTTGGTCCCCTTCCAAAATGTGTATATCCTCCCCCGGGTACACCCCGGCCACCCCCCCCCCCCCTCGTAACAATTTCCCTAATCCCAAAATTCTAAGTAAATTTTACAAACCCTTTCCGCAATTGATTAATGGCGTTTGCCCTCCTCACATAAAAATGACGTATTCGAACTTAGGCCCCCACTATCCACCATCCCAAACCAAAAGTCTTTCCCAAAAAAACTTTTTTCGGGGACAGAGCTGTTTTCCCCAAAAATTGGGAAAAAGCTTCCACCCCCTCCCTATCCCCCCCCAAAAAACCTCGTTTTCAAATTTCCAAAACCCTTTCCCCGCCTACCCAAACCCCCCCCCCCGCAAACCCAACCCACCCCCCACTAAAAAAGCCCCCCCTATGATCGGAAACAACCTCCTAAGTTTTAAAAAACCTACCAAACCCTCCGAGTAAAATAAAACCTTCCCAAACGAGCCCCCAAAATTTCCCCCTTTTTATAAACGATGTTTTCCCCCTCCCACAGACCTTCCCCCCCGAAAGCTTTACGGGAACTGGAAAATCTCTAACAGGCCCCCCAAGACAGGGAAAAATATCCCGCCCTCCCGGGTTCCACGTCTGTCTTCTTAATTACACAATTCCAACCCCCCCCACAAACGGACAGATGGTAACGTGCTAGGAAATACACGAGCTTTCCCCCGCCAAAAACCATCTTTTACTTTTCCGTCACTTTTTCTGGGGCATACACACAAAACAAACGCCACTCTCTCCTCCCATCCACCCATTCCCCTTTCCCACGTAAACCCCTCCCCCCCCCCCCCCTCTTTCCCATGGGAATCAAACGGGCCCCCTCCCTATCAAAAACACCCCCCTCCTCCTTTTAAAAAAGCTCAACGGGCAACACATAAGCCTGAAACCCCGGGGAAACCCCTAATTCAAAAGGGCCAAGCTTAAAAATTTTTGCTCCTGCCAAAAAAATGCTACTCAACCTTATACCTATTTTAAAAACTTTCCCGAAAGGCACTCCCGGGTTTAAAAAAAAAACACCATCCAAAAAGACCAAATTTAAAAATTTTAAATTTTTACACAAACCCAGCCCCGGGTTAAGGTTTTTCCCTTTCCCCGCCTCCCTGTCAAGATTTTTTTTCCCTTTCAGAAATGTTTCCCCTGGACTGGGGCCTTTGCCACAGTTTCCCCCCCTTCCCCTTTCCAAAACCCTTTCCCCCCCCCCCTTCTGTTGTGGCCCTCTCGCAAGTCACTTTTGGATACCAGAAACCCCCCCTGTCCTTTTTTTTTCCCCCGGGCCCTTTCCCCCGGGGGCCCGAACATCGTTTCCCAATCGCCTGCCGCCCTTTTCCCCTTTTAGCTCCCTCAGTTTTCCCTATCGGGGCCTGGGAGCCAGCAAAAATGGACTTTCCAAACCCTACCACCCTTAATCCGCCTCCATGCCCCCCCATGGGGACTCGCCCCCGTTTCCCCCCACAGGTGCCAAACCCGATCCTCCCCTTTTTCCCCCAAACAAAAACCCTTTTAACCCCGACCCGGGGCTTGTTCGCTGAAAATCTCCCCCCCTCCGTAATGAAACCCTAGCCTGTATCACCCCTCCCCCCAACTCCTCCTCAAAAGCCTTCACTGCTGCCCCTCCTGTACCTCCTCACCCTTACAACTGTAAGTGATGGGCCCGGGGATTCATGGGTCACCAAATTCTTCCCAAATTTCCCCCGGAGGAGCCCCCACCCCTTTTACTCCACAATGCACCACGCCCTCCTCCCCTTTCAAAAACCCTTCTTTTTTAGGCATTGGGTGCTCCCTGCGCAGGTGCTTTCCCCCCTTCCGGCCCCCGGACCACTGGGTTTATGGCCAGGGGATTTTATGGATCACCAAATTTCTTCCTTTCCCCCTGGAGGGACCACTACCTCTTCACTCCACATGGGGGACCCCGCCCCCCCCTCCTTTTCCCCCCTTCTTCCTTAGGGATCGGGGGCTCAAGGGGGCAGGGGGTCCGCCCCCCTTTCCCGGGCCCGGGGGCCATACTCCCTTTCCACAGTCCGGGCCCCCATAAAGGCAAATTCGCCACACATCGGCACGTAGGGCCCCTGCCCCCCCATAAAGCTACCCTTTTCCTTTGGGGGGTTTTAAAAATCCTTTGAGAAAAATACATACGGGTATAGGGTGGGCCCAAGCGTCCTCTTTTAGATTAAAAAAAACCCCAGGAAAAAACCTGTGTAAGCACCTTTTACCCCAAATTTTCCCAGGTTGGGCCAGAAGTACCCGTTTCCAAACGTTCGAAAACATTTCGAATATCTAAACCCCCCAAACAGCCCAAAAAGGGACGTTGCAGGGCTTTTAAAAACCCCGAATAATGTCTTGAACATCAATCCCAAAATTTACCCTCACTGCCGGTTTTTTACGTAAAAGCTGACAACCTGGTAACGATTTAAACCAAAGCCTCGTATACTTTAACAGTTTTGCACTTTCACGAAAACTTATACACCCGTTCATTGGGCCCCTCCATAAAAATCCTCGTCTCTGATGCCATATGTCTCTCGTATAATTTTGGGGCCCAAAAACACATCACTGACGTAGGGGTTTAAAACCCCACTAATTTAAATTTTAAAGCCCACAGTATTCACTCTCCCTGCGAAAAAACCGGGGCCATGTCGTTTTACTGATTAGCTCGTCTGGGGAAAAAGTAAGGGGGGGCAAAGCACGTCCGCAAATCTAACCCCATCCAGGCAGCGAATGCACAACACCTCCTCGTAAACCCCTGCGTCAGGTTTTCTGAGGGAGCGGGCAGGGAAGGGGGTCTGCACCCCAATAGCGATGCAACAATGCTCCCTAAACCCTTTTTAAATGATTTCAGACGTACTATGGGCGTACTTTTTACTACACAATGCAAACCAAAAAACCCTCAACAAAGGGGAACCGGTTTTCGGGGACTTTTTAATTTTTTTCTGAAAAAAATAAAAAACATATTCACCCCTGACAAATAAATGGCACGGTTTTCCCAAAAACCCCCCAACCCGGGACAGTTTTTTAAAACGTTAAAAGCAAAAAACTACATTCACAATATTTTTTGAAAATTAAACATGAATTTTTACACCTCAACCCACCCCTTTTAAAAACCTAACGGTCCCCGGTTTAAAGGTCCCTCTCATGTTGGGTCTGTCATTTTCTCCTAATTTTCTTTTAAAGGGTTTTTTCCCTTTCCCTCACTTAAAACCCCAAAAAAGCGTAATGTCATGTGGAAACCCCAGTTTGAAAACAATTTTTTTTGGCATTGCTATTTTTATATATATATAACCCTGTAAAAAATATATAATAATTTTAAATATATTAAAAATATAAAAATAAATATATATAATATAAATATAATATTAAATATATAAATAAATTTTTTTATATATAAAATTGTCAAAAATTTAAAATTTCATTACCAAGTTTATTTTTTAAATTTCAATTCATTTTTCATATTTTTTTTTAAAAAAAATTGACCTCTGTGAAAGATCCCCTTCCCGGGGAAAAAGCGTTTTTTATATTTTCTTCTAAAATTCCCGTTTACCTCGACCCCCCTTTGCGCTACGTAAAATTTCTTTTTAAAAATTTTAAAATTAAAACCCCCCCGTTTTCCCCGCTTTCTCGCCCCCCCAAAAACTTACCCCGCTTTAAAAAACATGGGGAGGGCCCCCTGTTTCTTAGCCAGGACGGTCAAGGGGTTTCCCCCAGTGGCTTCGTCCCAAACCAGCTCCCGTGAAGGGTTTTCAAAATTGGCTGGGCCCTTTTCGCAGCCCTATAAACCCTTTTCCCCCAAACCTAAAATTTATTTTTTATTATTATTATTATTTTTATTATTATTATTGTTATTATTATTATTATTAAATTACTATTATTATTATTATTATTATTAGTATTATATTATCATTATTTATTATTATTAAATTATTATTATTATTATTATTATTATTATTATTATTATTATTATTATTATTATTTATATGCATGGGTTTGATATTCACTATGTTATACACAGTGTGAGGTGTGCCAGGTATACCATCCAAAAATTTGTTAAATTTAATGTCACGTAAGAAAGCCTCCAGGTTATACTCATTATAACAATGCATAATGATGTCAAGCATGACATCCACCAGGTTTTAGGTAACATGATGTTGTCAGGTGTGACATCTACCACATTATACTCAAATTAATGATGTTAGGTATGATATCCACGACCTCTTGCTCAGAATAATGATATCAGACGTAACATCCATCTCTTTATACTCAGTATAATGATGTCAGGTATGATGTCTTCTTTAGCCCATTCCTGTAATTTTGTAACTTTGGGAGCGTCTCTTTCGGCAGCCTTCCCAGACCTTGACCCACAAGTAGCCCAGATCAAGGTCACTCGGAGCTCGTAGGAAGGATCGCTGGTGTCTCCATCGGCCTGGGCGCCGTAGATCTGGCCATTCCTAGTGTATTTCGCAGCCACTATGTCCATGACATTGACCATGTTGTCTTTCCAGTTGTCATGACCTTCGTTTAGGCTATAACGATTTCGGTTGTGTTCTCTGAAATTTCCATTACCACTGATGGTGTTGTTGTAGTGACCGTTATTTCCGTTATGATCGTTATTTCCTCTGTGACTGTTATCTTCCCCTTGATCATCATACCCTCTGCTCCCGTTGTTGCCCTCGTGGTAATTATCGTCGTTCCGAAAGCTCTCCGAGGGGTGTGTTTTGTTTTTCAGCGTCGATGGATTTTTCGGTCGATGGCCAAATACCTCAAACATGAGTGGACGGTACTCGAGCACGTACGACACGATGGCCTTGAACTCCTCTGAAGAAACCTGAAAGATGCCGGGTTTGAAATTCCCTTTTCTTGTTTGGCACTTTTCTAAGAATTATATAATAATTTATCATGTTCATTGTATAATTATATCCTTGTACGTACTATTATTATTGTTTTTTTTATTAGTAGTAGTAGTACTAGTATTAGCACTAGTACTAGCATTAGTAGTAGTAGTAGTAGTCGTAGTAGTAGTAATAGTAATAGTAGTAGTAACAGTGGTAGTAGCAGTAGTAGTGGTAGTAGTAGCAGTAATAGAACAGCTCATGACTGCTCACTCCTCTCTTTCTAAGGAAGTTGTACTGATGCTGGTGAAGGGATCAAGATCTTAATCTGAATCAAGAAAATGAAAACAAGAGAATTAATGCACACTTGACCTGTGTTCCATTGAGGAAATACGAGTAAGTGAATCCGTGTGGTAGTAAGTCAAGGAGGACTTCGAGTTTCTGTCTCAGGGTGGAGTCTCCGTAGAGGGCAATCCATGTAGCAAGTCCTCTCGAAGTCCTGGCGTAGGTACATTGAGTTATCTCCCTCGACTCATACAGCCGGATCTAATAAGTACAGGCACAAATACTTTGAGCTAAATGGCACGGTGCTGGCGACAATACTGAAAGAAAGATACACTTTGCAGAACCCGCAGCGTTTCGATCTATTAATTTGACTTGATAGAGATGTTAAGAGGTCGAAACATTATCCCAATGACAGTGTTCAACGATATGTGAAAAGAATACAACTGAGGCAAAGGTTATATATACACAGTTGTGTATTATTCTCAAGTACATATACACTTGGAGTTTTCTTAAACACTCCTTTTAAGGGATTAAGATATTAACTACTAGTGTACAGGCTATATTCTCAGTGCATGTTCACTAAGAGATATCCACCTCTCGGTGTATATACCAAATGTTGATATATTTTAGCTTAACTAGCCGATTGCCTTTGCTGATTTAAAGTCATATATATATGGATAACTAAATTAAACTTAATCATAAGATCATGTCACTGAATGGCGGAAATGAGGTATTACAGTGTTGTAATCTTTTGACTACCGCCCACAGGATGGGTATGGGGTGCATAAAGATATTAAACTAAAGTGTGTGTGTGTGTGTGTGTGTGTGTGTGTGTGTGTGTGTGTGTGTGTGTGTGTGTGTGTGTGTGTGTGTGTGTGTGTGTGTGTGTGTGTGTGTGGTGTGTGTGACTCAACAGTCAATATTTGCACCAATAACTCATTACAGTTGTGACCGGGTGTGGAAGTGTGAATTGCTCATTTACTCTATAATTTGTTCATGATTGTAGCCAAAGTATAAACGTAAGTAACCATTCTACAGAATTCATTACCTTTGTAACTTGTGAGCTCATTACCTTTGTACCTAGTTCAGCTATCAAAACTTTGGGGGCCCAGTCCCTGGACCCATTACGTACCTCTGTAATCTGTAAATACCTTTGTAACTTGTCATGATTGTGACCAGACTTACCTGGAGTTCATTACCTTTGTAAATTGTGAGTTCATTACCTTTGTGAATTGTGAGTTCATTACCTTTGTAAATTGTGAGTTCATTACCTCTGTAACTTGCTCAGCTATCAAAACTTTGGAGTCCAGTCCCTGGACCAATTATGTACCTCTGTAATCTTTTGACTACCGCCCACAGGATGGGTATGGGGTGCATAATAAACATATTAAACTAAAAAAAAAGAATAGACTCACCGGGCAGGGAAGGTAAGGGATGGAACCATTCATTAGCTGTAAGCGAGTGCCAGAGTAGAACTCAAGTTGGGATCTTGTCTTGAGTGTGTCGTTGGAGGCGTCACTCAGATGCACCAGCGAGGCGAGAGTGTGACTAAGACCAGCATAGGGAGCATCTGTGGATACGTAGGTGAAGAAAAAAGTCAATATCACATATGTGTAGGCCAACTTATGCTACCAGAAGAATTGGGCACAGGAGCTGGAGTTCAGCTTAGGTGCCGTCATCTAGGTAAATGTAAAAATACACACACATATACGCATAAAAAAAGATTTAAGGTTAAAAAGAAGTGGAATGAGAACAGAAAATTAGTAACTAAAATTTCTTTCGCGGATTAATAATTTTTACCCATCAGTAAAACTTTTTAAGAAGAGGGTTAACTGTACTTTATGTTACCGTGCAATTTGTCATCACTTTCAGAGCTCATGATTATTTGCTTGTAAAATATTTTTATATCTTGCTGATCTCGCTGCATGTTGGCTGAGAGAAAGAGAGAGAGATGAGAGAACGATCGAGTGTAAAACTTGCCTGAATTCCAATCAGCGTCATGTTTGTCAATTGTAAACATCGACTGACACTCCTGATGAGGGTTCAGCAGCCCAGCTCCGGAGTCGCGGTGATCCTCCATATCACCAGGCTTCCTATACTGAATCACACCGCTTGCTTGAAGCCCTATATGTCCTCTAGACAGATACATCACCCCAATCACCATGACCAAAAGGGAACACACAAGCCAGTGTCGCGTCTTTCTTTCGTTCGTCATTGCACGCTAGAGAAGCAGATTCTGTGTCCCGTCGCTAGCATGACCTCCCAAACTTTATTTTCTCGCCGTAGCTTCCTAGGTTCACACTCTCACATTTTTCATCGTGATGTATGAAGCTCTTCTATAGTTTCACAATGAATGACTGAGGATGTTGTACGGTCTTCACTATAGTACGTACGACATACAGGCAAACATAACAGAAAATATAAATGTTTTCTTAATGATGGTCAGAATTAAACAGAGAATAAGCCGTCACTTCACCTGCACTGAATAACATTAGCGACCAGACAGACTCTCTGCCACTGAGTGTTCCATCACCTCTGCCCTCTCTGGCTGTACCTATTTTCGTCCCATCCAGCCAACAACCAGGAAAACCAGACCAAATACTTTACGTTTCCTGGACCCAACTTACAATAAAGAGAAGTAAATTTTCCTTCTGTACTGATTATTATTATTATTAGTAGTAGTAGTAGGAGTAATAATAATAATAAAATTAGTAGTAGTAATATTAATAATTGTAGAAGTATTATTATTATTATTATTATTATTATTATTATTATTATTATTATTATTATTATTCGCAGTAGTAATAGTAATAATATTTTTATCATTATTATTATTATTATTATTATTTTGTTGTGGAGAGTTTCTTTGGTTTAAGAATAATGTAGGAGAGATTTAGAAATGTTAATATGGTACTTGTATTTAGCTTTAAATAACTCGATAACTTTTTAGCAAAAATTGTGAAAAATATGTGTGCTCTCGCTAGAGTGATTTTCCAATCTCTCAATTCCTGTGAAGGGCCTGCCAAGGATGGGCCAGTGCTATTCTGTTCTTGTGTTTTGATGTTCTGTTTTGGAAGAACCATAAACAAGAGAACTAGATCCTGCCTCTCCAACGTGAGGTTTACTTGTCAACAATGGAAATCAAGTACTCCAATGGAAATGTCTGACCTTTCTTTGGATTATCCTAAGTAATTTCTACATATGTTACGATGTATGATAATTTGTGTAACTGTATTTATATGTACCTGTACCTAAATAGCCCGGAGGGCCCGGGTTCGATTCCCGGCGGGTGGAAACATTTCGACACGTTTCCTTACACCTGTTGTCCTGTTCACCTAGCAGCAAATAGGTACCTGGGTGTTAGTCGACTGGTGTGGGTCGCATCCTGGGGGACAAGATTGAGGACCCCAATGGAAATAAGTTAGACAGTCCTCGATGACGCACTGACTTGGGTTATCCTGGGTGGCTAACCCTCCGGGGTTAAAAATCCGAACGAAATCTTATCTTAACTAACAATCCACCTATTACTACTCTTTACTACATCTGATACAACGCTAGTTACATATATTGTGTGATTTCATCATTACCAGATATGTCTTTGTGTATTCCGTTGATTTTTTTTTTTTTTGGTCAGGCTAAGAGCTATTGTTCTATCTTAAAATATTTCACTTAGCCAATGTTTTTTTCTTAAGGTCAGTCTCGCAAACAAATATATGTCAGACAGTCCCTCGTTGACGCACTGTCTTTTTTTGGGTTATCCTGGGAGGCTAACCCTCCGGGGTTAAAAATTCGAGCAAAATCTTGTCTTTCACTTGGCTTTACCGATCATTGGAGCGTCTTGCGACTAGGGAAGTTTTCCGATCATTGTTAAGTGTATTCTGATTATCTTATCTTTATCATCAATAATTCAATATTTTACATAATTTGCTTTGTGTGTCATTTTTATATAATTTCTTATGTACCGCTTCTAACTTTTACGATGTAATATTATCGATAAGGTAACAAAAGGACCCCAGTGGAAATAAGTAACTCTGACTTTTTTGGGTTATCCCAGGTTCTCTACACATATGGTGCTATGTATGATAATCTATGTAACTGTATTTGTGTACGTATACCTACATAAACTTAGCCCGCTCCGGTGTTCAAGATATCATAGTTCTGCATTTATACCATTTTCTTTTACATGTGATCATTCGCATGTGAAAGAAAATGTTATAGATGTATAACTATAGCAAAGATTATCAGAAAGCAACAACAACAACAACAACAATAATAATAATAAATTTTTTTTTTTTATATTCACCGGTATTCTCCCGGCCCGGGTCTTTTCCAAGTAGTGGTGACCCGGCCTTGGCTCCCTATCTGGGGAGTGGCTCGAGACTTAAGTCTCCCATGGGAGGAGGTACAAGTACCTCCTCATCTTTGGGACCAAGTGTCCCCAGGCCTAGCCACATTCCCCGCCCTCACGGGGCTCGTAGGGAGAAGCTAGGCCTCTGGTCTGCCATCTACCCCGCCCCAAAGGGGCTCGTGGGGATGGCAGTCTCATGAGCTGCAGATGGTAGCAAGTTAGTTAGTTAAAGATTAGCCGGTATTCTCCCGCCCCGGGCCTTTTCCAAGTGGTGGCCCGGCCTTGGCTCCCTCTTTAGGGAGTGTCTGAGACCTAAGTCTCCCACGGGAGGAGGCACAAGTACCTCCTCATCTTTAGGACCAACTGTCCCCAGGCCTAGCCACAAACTAGGCCTCTCTGGTCTGCCATCCCCGCCACAAGGGGGCTAATGGGAATGATAATCTTGTGAGCTGTAAGCTCGGGCTCAGGCACCTACCCTACCCTAGAAGGGTTAGGCATGGTGTCGATGGTAGCAAGCTCAGACGATGTGGTATATAATAAATAATAATAATAAATAATAATAATAAATAATAATAGTAAATAATAATAATAATAATAAATAATAATAATAAATGATAATAATAATTAATAATAATAAATAATAATAATAATAAATAATAATAATTAATAATTAATAATAAATAATAATTAATAATTAATAATAAATAATAATTATTAATTAATAATAATTAATAATAATATTTTTATTTACTACAGTATTTGGGGGCTCTGGTGGCTAAAGCTCCCGCTTCACACACGGAGGGCCCGGGTTCGATTCCCGGCGGGTGGAAACATTTCGACACATTTCCTTACACTATTGTCCTGTTCACCTAGCAGTAAATAAGTACCTGGGTGTTAGTCGACTGCTGTGGGTCGCATCCTGGGGGACAAGATTAAGGACCCCAATGGAAATAAGTTAGACAGTCCCCGATGGCGCACTGACTTTCTTGGGTTATCTTGGGTGGCTAACCCTCCGGGGTAAAAAATCCGAACGAAATCTTATCTTATCTTAACTTCTAGGGTAGGGTAGGTGCCTGAGCCAGAGTTTGCAGCTCACAAGACTGTCATTCCCATTAGCCCCCTTGGGGCGGGGATGGCAGACCAGAGAGGCCTAGCTTCTCCCCACGAACCCCATGAGGGAGGAGAATGTGGTTAGGCCTGGGGACAGCTGGTCCCAACGATGCGGAGGTACTTGTACCTCCTCCCATTGCAGACTTAGGTCTCAGACACTCCTTCGACAATGAGCCAAGGTCGGACCACCACTTGGAAAAGACCCGGGCCGGGAGAACACCGACGAATCAAGAAGACATGGCGAGGGCCTGGGTTCGATTCCCAGCCAGAGTAGAAACATTGGGCGTGTTTCTTTCCACTTGTTGTCAATGTTCACCATCAATAAAATGGGTACCTGGGTGTTAGTCGACTGGTGTAGGTCGCATCCTGGAACACTGACCTAATTTGCCCGAAATGCTCAGCATAACAAGCGGCTTTCTATATAGTAGTATATCATTGATGTCAGCTAGGACTGTATACCTTCTGCATGTACTTGTGGTAAATAAAGATATTATTATTATTATTATTATTATTATTATTATTATTATTATTATTATTATCATTATTATTATTGTTGTTGTTGTTGTTGTTGTATTTCCACTGGGGTCCTTAATCTTGCCCTTCAGGATGGCACTTACACCAGTCGACTAACACTTATTTAATGCACAAGTCAACTTCAGACAGTATTGAAGTAAATACCAAAGAGAAAAGAAAGTTTTATTCTGTCATCTTTTCGCTCTAAACAGAGCGAAACGTTGTCACAACATTTTTGTTATTATAAAACAAATGCAAAACAAATAGGCCCAAAAAAAAGATAACTGGGAACTTGCTGTGAGCCAGATATTAATATTTTTAAGGTAAAACATATAACATTGCAAAAAAAAAAAAAGTGAAGGCGTAGAGAAAAGAAGACGGACACAGGATCATCAACGCTCTGTCATGGTAAACTTCTGAGGTTTGTCAGGATTCTGAAGAACCCTGAATGTGGGATCCCACTCATCGTACTTGTACTCGAAGTTATATTTCGAAAACAGCTGAAAAGTAGGAAAAAAAACATGTATAAAATTCGTACTGATTTCGTTTAGATAAGTTGCACTGCACGAATTACAAACCACTAAATTTTTCGGCTATTCAGAGCTTTTTAACATTATATAACAAGACTTTTTTGCAGGTACCCAGTGTTTATTGCACTTACTCGTGCGAGAAGGACGTAAATCTCCTGCTCGGCCAATCTCCGGCCAACACACATGCGAGTACCTATAGAGAAGGGGATGGAAGCGAACTGGTTAGGCTGAGGGTCTTCTTGGCTCCTCAGCCATCGCTCAGGCAGGAACTCTGATGCCCGAGGGAAGTAATCTTCATTCTTGCCAGACTGTTGAACGTTAACGAACACCCAAGTCTGATAAAGATAAATATATTTTCAGTGACACTGTGTGTGTGTGTGTGTGTGTGTATACTCTGTGACTGAAGAAATATTTCCTAACATCCCTGTGATTCATCTGAGTCTTCAACTTCTAACTGTGACCCCTTACTGCTGTGTCCCATCTCTGGAACATCCTGTCTTTGTCCACCTTGTCGATTCCTCTCAGTATTTTATCTGTCGTTATCATATCTTCCCCCTATCTCTCCTGTCTTCCAGTGTCGTCAGGTCGATTTCCCTTAACCTCTCCTCCTAGGACATACCCCTGAACTCCGGGAGTAGTCTTGTTGTAAACCTGTGTGTGTGTGTGTGTGTGTGTGTGTGTGTGTGTGTGTGTGTGTGTATACATGTGTGTGTGTGTGTGTGTGTGTGTGTGTGTGCGCGAGCCCGCTCTTACCCACCTAATTGTACTCACCTAATTGTGGTTGCAGGGGTCGATACTCAGCTCCTGGCCCCGCCTCTTCACTGACCGCTACTGGGTCTTCCCTCTCCCTGCTCTATGAGCTTTATCATATCTCGTCTTAAAACTATGTATGGTTCCTGCTTCCATTACATCACTTACCAGACTATTTCACTTCCTAACAACTCTGTGGCTGAAGAAATACTTCCTAACATCCCTTTGGCTCATCTGAATCATCAACTTCCAATTGAGACCCCATGTTTCTGTGTCCCATCTCTGGAATATCCTGTCTCTGTCCACCTTATCTATTCCATGCAGTATTTTGCATATCGTTATCATGTCACTCCTGATCCTCCTGTCCTCCAGTGTCTTCAGACCAATTTTCCTTAACCTTTCTTCGTTGGACATTCCCCTTAGCTCTGGAACCAGCCTTGTTGCAAACCTTTGCACTTTCTCTAATTTCTTGACTTGCTTGACCAGGTGTGGGTTCCACACTGGTGCTGCGTACTCCAGTATGGGCCTGACGTACACAGTGTATAGAGTCTTGAACGATTCCTTACTGAGGTATCAGAACGCTAATCTCAGGTTTGCCAGGCGCCCATATGCTGCAGCAGTTATCTGGTTGATGTGTGCTTCCGGAGATGTGCTCGGTGTTGTATTCACCCCAAGATCTTTCTCCTTGAGCGAGGTTTGCAGTTGTTAGCCACCTAGCCTATACTAAGTCTGCGGTCTTCTTTGTTCCTCTTCGAGCTTCATGACTTTGCATTTGGCCGGGTTGAATTCGAGAAGCCAGTTGCTGGACCACCTGTCTCTTTGAAGGCCTGCCTGATCCTCATCTAATTTAATTCTCCTCATTAACTTCACATCATCTGCGAACAGGGACACCTGTGTGTGTGTGTGTGTGTGTGTGTGTGTGTGTGTGTGTGTGTGTGTGTGTGTGTTGTGTGTGTGTGTGTGTGTGTGTGTGTGTATGTGTGTGTGTTCGTGTGTGAATGCGTGTGGGCGTATTACTCACTCCAGCTTTGACTCTGTAGCCGTGAAGTGTAATATCCTCCGTTGGTTTCCTAGTTACAGCTGGCACTATCGGCATGACTCTGAAAAGTTAAATAATAAATAAGTACAGTGTTCAATCCTATAAAATGAGAAAAAAGTTTAAAGTCTCGATCATATTCCAGTAATTTTTACTTTCCTTATTCATACAGATATTCTATGTTTCATGATCATTACTATTGCAAAATGTATCAGTAACATTAATAATAAATTGAACAAGTATAATAATTTGCAACTATATTTTTATCGGTACTGTATTTCTCTATCGCTACTAAATAATACTTATATTTTTTATCATATACCCAAATATCTTATCAAAGATTAGAGTATTTTCGGTCGAGTTTGAACAGAGGTGAAACTGAAGGTCATGTCTGTCATTACTCAACATTTCTCTGTATTAATAATAATAATAATAACAATACAGGCAGAACTGCCGACAACATGTTAGATAAAAAGACACAAGTGCGACTAATGTGATTATATAGTTGCACGTGTCCTGTTACCTAAAATATGTTAGTAATATTTTAGGATCACTTCGGACTCTTATTCGTCCATTTAGTTTATGATTCTACCTCAAAATTCACTCAGAGTCTGTTAAATAACTTCCTCACCTGAGAGTTTCCCTCACACAGGCTTTAAGATAAGAAAGCTTTGCCATTTGGTGTGTAGTAAGAGGTTGACTACCATCGCCCAACACCTGGTCAAGTTCCTCCTGCAGCCGCGCCTGCTTCTCAGGGTTCCGAGCCAGGTAGTACATGGTAAACACCGTCGTCATTGATGTCTACAAAGAGGGAGATTTTTAAACACAAA